GCAGTCATGGTCCCAGTGAAAGGTTTCTATCCATTTCTCACTAATTCTTTTTTTTTTTTTTTAATCTTGAGGCATAAATCCATGGCATTAAGATACTATGTTTTCCAAAGCAAGATGTTAATATCACACACGTATCGAATATATTGCAACTTGACAGTTTATCTTCTCGGCTTCCTCTGAGAAACTGAGATTAGATATAAACATGGATTAAAAAAAAAAAAAAAGGGCAGTAAGAAAAAAAAGACAAACTCATTGATTCTATGTTCTATGTATGTGGAAAGGCGATAAGGTTGCCATTGTTTGACATGTATTTAAAGCCTGTTTTCATCAAAAGAAAGAAGTCATCATGGTGAAGGATTTCTCCCCCCAACAGAATATATCATAAAATCTGAACTATGAGCTTCATGTAGTATCTTACTTATTTATCTCCCTCCTTCCTTGCTTAGCAAAATCCAATTATTCCCAATGACTAGTTTAGCACATATTTATAACCAGAACAAACTCACTTGGTGCTGTAGTAACAAACTCAGACCAGAGAATATGGTCGTATGAACAAAAGTCATTAAGTTAAACACCTTAGCTATTCAGAGGAACAAATTCCCTAATCCCTTAACTTGCGAAATAAACACTTTGGTTCACAATAACTGGCTCTCAACTTTCTCAGTTTTCACTGTTCACTGGAGACAAGCCTTTACAGAGCATTTTCACTTCCACAATTCAAGATTTATCATTTCACAAAGTTTAAGAACGTCACATCAAATTTCCCATGTTGCCCATATTTGTTGGGCAGGGTTTGTTAATTCCATTTGTTTTGGGAGGGATTTTTTTTTTTTTTTTTTTTCAGCTGTACTGCTGATTCCCTTACATCTTAATGCAAAGACAAGAAGTTGTTGAGCCAAAGTATCTTTAAGTGCCACAGAGAGCCCATTCTGCAGTTAGCTTGTTTTAAAGTTACATGAATCAGTCAATTCAGAGAAGATACTCCTTGCCTGGTAGGGTACACCACATCAACAGGCATGAGTGACAGAAGGATGAAAGGGAAGGACTGTATCAGAACAAACCGTATAACCCACAAAATTTCAAGAACATGGGAGGCATGCTATTCTTCTGAATTAGAGTGGTCAGCAATCATAACCCGCTAGAGGGTAATGCACAAGCCTAGATATTAAGGATAAGATTGCTGAGGCATAAGTGTAAAGGAACTTGGTGTACATGAGCAGAAGTCATGTTCGTTTCCTCCAAAATAGCCAGTATCCAGTGGGGACTATGACAATCTAGCAAGCAGTAAGAATAACCTCAGGTACAAGTTCTTTAAAGTAGTTCCCTTTTCTGCTACTTTGTGATCCAATGTGTTGGAACTGTAACTGGGAATTGTATTTAAAGAATAAATATTCACAGAAAGTTGTGTGGTATTTGGTGCAACTGCTTTATGAAAACTTCACACACAAAAGAAGGTCAAGCTGAAAACAGAGCTAAACCATCATCTTCTGTAGTGTCAGTCTGATGTATGATTTTAACAGGTACCCCACCTTCTGGCTTGTTTTTTTTTCCCTCCTGCACACAGAAACAGATCCTGATAGACATGAGCAACAATGAGATTACAAGAGGTGTGACTAAGTGACAGATGAAACTGGAACAATCCCATATGGTATCTGTTGTATTAACAGCAGTTGCTACAGCCTAAGATTTTTTCTACAGAGCAAAGGTGTCCACAGAGTCTACAGAAAGAAGTTACTGTCATCATGCTGTCTAGGAGTTTACCTTCGAGAATGTTTTTGCCTGCACTTAAGCTAGATGGACCATCCTTCTACTGCCCAATACAGAACTATACTAACATAACATAGTCAAAGCCTTGGCTGGTCTACTTTGAATCGACTGCTGGTACTGCAAATTGACCACCGTGGCAGTAAACGTCACAATGACAATTTGACAATTATATTCCTTTGGATCTGATCTGTCTTTATTGTTTCTTAACTGGATCTGACTGTCATTAGATCCTTCTCTGTCCTTCTTTAAATCAGATCCCTTTAATACAAATACCAGGAGACAATGAGAATAACAACTAGATTTTTATTTCTAAAGCTGATTTTTTTTCTGGCTAAAAGGCTAAAAAGCAGTTTACCTCTCAGTGGGCAAAATATTAATGATCTAATAATCTGTGACGGACAGTTGTCCTTCAGGGATGCTAAGTTTCTCTCTTCTTGTTTGCAGAACCCTGCTTGAGCAGTCAGCTCCTGCCACTGACTTACTTGCAACTGTTGATCCTTTTCTAGTTGTGTTATGAAGAGTGACGGAAGGCTACTGGAGGGCAGAGTCAATATTACATTAGCTTCATTGGGCAAAAACACTGGGTGAATGGCATCTACAATACAGATGCTGCACTTCCTGGTGACCAGTAATTTCTTGCTGGTGTCCTCAGACAGTGGAAGCATAGGGAGGGAGGCAAAGTAGTGCTCAGTTGCTCACCTATTTCATTCTGAGGCAATGCAGAAAGATCAGCATGAAGTTCACCACGTCCTCCATCAGGCTCAAAAATACTCAGAAGTTTGGCAAGAGGAGCTGCACATCCTTCAGCACACAAGTGACACACAGCCCATATCTCTCCTCATTAAGAGAGGCAGAGGCCCAAAGGAAGTACATCTCACAGAGATGCATGCCAGATACAGTTTGCAAGAGAAAAAAAAAAAATCCCTAAGGAAAGATCATATTTACTTGGGAAGATAAAGGATAAAAGCTGAACACAAACAGGAAAAGGAATGACATTTTGTTATAACTTTGATGAACTCTTCAATACTATACTAATATTCTACTTCTGTTCTACAGGGAAACAGTATTTATTACTAGAAAACCTAGAACTTCTGTAGAAGACTGCAACTTTCTCTCAGGAGCTCAACAGCAGCTGTGGGTCTTAGTTACAACTCATCATGGCAATTCACTTGCTCCAAGAACTAGGCTAGCTTCCAGTAAACTTCAAGCTGTAATCTAAGGTACCATTTTGGATTTGTGAAGATCTAATTAATTTGCATCTTAACAATGAACCATTGAGATTCAGCAGCCACTGATACTAGCAGAAGTCATCATTTGAACAATGAAATTAGGCTCTTTTCAACTAAAGCTGCTTCCTTTCCTTGGTCCAAAGCAGTTCACTGTGGTCAAAGTCCAGGGCATGCCCTGACACAAGTTTTCACAAAATGTGCTAGGTTAGAGGATTCAACAGCTGAAGTATCAAACAGCACTGAAGACTAAGTTAAAGAAAAACAACCGCCTTGCAAAATGCACTTCATACATAACTTAGAATATACGGGGAGGTTCATTTGAAAAATCTAACCTCACAGTGAAAAGATAAAAGGTTTATAATTAGATGAACTGTTTTGAGTTTAAAGGTGTTTTTCAATACTATGCTTCTGGAGAACATGCAGGACTCTAGAGACCACTACTTGCCTTCCAGCAAACAGTCAAAACTGAAAGCAAATATCAGTGAACTGTAGACATATTAAGTGCTTACCATTAGGAAAACAAGGAAATGATGTAACAGTATATAAATAATTAAAATAATTATTCCAAATAATTATTTCCCAATTAAAATAATTTGGATTTTTAAAAAATTTGCATTATCATGCTTCTGCATGAAAATTCTCTGTACCAACACTTAGATGAATATGAAGCAAATTCATGAAATCCAAGTAATAATGGAGTTAAGAAAAATATGAGACAAACCCCATACTGGTTTGTTTCTTACTGTTTGTTCTGCTAATGCTTCTGCCAGACTTCAACAGTAACCTAACAAATGCCAGCTTATCAGCCTGTTCCACTACAATGTGTTTCAGATATTACTCTCAGTTCAAAAATTTTTCTTCCATACTTACTGTAACTTCACTACCTTGAACACATATTTTTAGCTCTCTGATGCCTTATTTACAAATTTAAGGAGAGAATGAGTGAAACCAATAGGGAGAGGTTGGCCTAGGTTGTATTTTGGGCACTGAACTTTAAAACTGCAACACCTTCCCCCTCTTCTTGCCAACAATCTCAAAAGGCTGCAAGTGCTCATCCTGAATTCATCTGAAATCCCAGGGTGCCTACCACTCTGCTCCCGGGCATGCCCCCAGGCGCCCACCGGCTCTAACATCAACGCTGTTTTATAGAAGGCAGGTGGCACTGGCACAGCTTTGTTAAAGGAAAGCAAATGTTGCTCCGTTTTTTGAAAGCAGGTTTAGAGACACTTAGAGGCAAGGAGGATTGCGAGGGCTGGTGGCGGCACCAGCCAACACCTCTGATGTACTCACCTAAGGCTTGGAGCGAGACGAGCGAGATGTCAGATACATGCTCACAGCTGGCACTGGGAAAACACCCCGGCCCTTGCGCCAGTCCCTGGGGAGCTGCCAGCCCACGCGCTGCACCGACGGCGCGGCATGCCTCACCCCGGGATCCCAGTTCAGTGGGAAAGCTGTGCTCTTTGGCCTAGCCCATGGATTCCTAGGGTTTAAGTGACGACCACATAGTTTCTAACTTGATGCATCCTCTTAATGCATCTTCACCTAACTTGAAGTCCTCCCAAGTTTTCAAATTCTTAACATGACAGTGGAGTGATTTTTTCTTTGTGGTTTTCATTAGGTAATCTTGCTAACAAGGGTATTAGTAGGCACAGACAATTTGAAAGGATACCTTCAGGATTTTTGCGGCTTTTCCTCTTTTTCTATTACAAAACCTTTACATACCCTCAAAAACATGCTAGGGTGGAGAGTATACCCGTGCGCTGCCAGCAGAGGGACGGAGGCAGAGGAAAGTAAGTTAGTTATTGGAAAGTCCTTTGCAAACGCTGCAGGGAGGCTGTGAAGGTACTGCTTTGAACGGGAAAGCTTTACAACAGGTGTTAATACTGGAAAAGGGGACGAGAAAGGAGACCGGGGAGGTAGTGCCAAGGGCCGCCCATCAGCCCGAGGAGCGGGGCTGGTGCCCGCGGCCCCGGCGTCCCCCTCCCGCCGCGGCCGCGCACTCACCGCAGGAAGCGCCGGAACTCCGCGGGCCCCACGCCGTCCAGCCGCAGCACCCCGCGGGGCGGCCGCCCCCCGCCCAGCCCGGCGAAGAGCCGCGGCGCCCGCGCCAGCAGCACCGCCCGGTGCGCCCGCAGCGCCGCCTCGCCCACACGGATGGTCACGTCGGAGCTCGTCCCCTCCGCCAGCAGCCTGCGGGAGCGCACCGTTACCACCGTCGCCCGGCCCGGCTGCCGCCGCCGCCGCCCCCCCGGCTCCGCCGCACCCCGCGCCCACCTGCCGAGGTCCTGCCGGAGCTGCTCGGCCAGCGCCTCCTTCAGCCGCTGCCGCTCCACGGCCGCCGGGCCGGGGCGCGCCATGTGCCAGCAGCCGCTCAGCTCCGCGCCCCAGCGGGAACGCGGGGTCAGGGGTTGACAGACAGTCCCTTAGCGACGACACCGGAGAGGGCGGGCCCGCCCTATTCACGAAAACAACCACGGCGGCGCCTTCCCTCCCGCCAGCGCCGGCCCCGCCGGCAGACCGTTTCCCAACGAGCCGCGGGACCCCGCGGTGCGGGCTGCGGAGCCTTCCCCGCTCCCTCCCAGGGGGCGTGGCCAGAAGCGGCCTCCGCCAATGAGAGCCGGGGAGGGCGCCCCCTGCCGGTCGCGCCCCGCCCCCGCTCCTCTCGCCCCGACCGGAGCCGCACCGCGGCCGTGTGCGGCCGCTGCCCACCCCCAGCGGGGCACCGCCGCCTCTCGTTTTGAAAGCGGAGTCTGGCTTGCGGCTGTTGCCCGTGGTATGTGTCGCCGCTGCGCTTCTCGCAAAGAACAGGAGCACTCGGCCCGCAAGCCGCAGCTGCAGGGGGCAGCTCTCCGCGGCGGCGCTGGCGGCCCGCAGGTCACAGTGACAGGGTGCTCCCAGGGAAAAACCGCACCCTCAGCACCGGCTGTCTTGCCAAGAAATTAAACTGCGGCAGAGGTGATAAAACTCGGTCTACAATACTCTTCTGAGACAAGGAAGAGCGTTTCCAACTTTATAGTCCAAGTAAAAGAAGCACGTAACCATTTAAGTTGATAAATGCGGAAACTATTCAGGGTAAAATTACCCTTGAAAGGTAAGCACCAGCCGTGGATGGAAAAGGCGGGGTCAGTATCGCCATGCTAAGGGGACTCTTCCTCACATTTTGCAAGCTGCCTGGAAGGAAGCAGATCGCCAGCCACAAGCTAATAGGCAGCTGACAGCACCCCTTGGACCACTTTCTTGCAAGGATCATGCCAAGCAAGACACCAGCAGGGGCTGCGCCAAGTACCTGTGTGGGACATCATGGCTTGAAAGGGATGACACGTGTGGTGGTGTGGGACTTGTTGGCACTCGCCACTAACCATCAGCTCTCTCCTACTCCGGTGTGGTCAGTTGCTTCAGGCTCAGCTGACCCCACTGCCTCCCCCGATGGGCCCCTGTTCGGCCTCTCCAGCTCCCAGAGCACTGAGCTTGCTCTGCAGGTGGAGAGGAAGCCTTTAGGATCCCATCATGTAGGTGACTCACCTCTTCCGGAGACTCATGTTATGTTTTGTGCTTCCTTTTTCTTTGTAGTTAGCACTGTTTTCTTCTCCCTTGCCATCTCATGCAAATTAATTCCACCCTCTGCTTCCATAATCACTGTGTCTCTATAAACGCAGGAACTCGGCAGTTCTTGGAGACAAGAACAGTAGTTGTTAATGTAGGAAGAATAATGCCAACAATGAGGCATTATTGCCAAGAAACTACAACAATCATATCATGAGGAGGGCTATGTGGTGGACAGACACTTCAGCTATTTGAATCCAGTTCTTAGCTTCAGTAAAAAATCTCTCCATAGGAAGCCAGATAAAGGGAGTAGTTTAAGTTGCATTTTATTAGACAGAGGTGATTTGATACATGTTATATCTTAATTTTCCATTCTTCTTGTTCAGACATGTTGAGTGTACAGGTTTTGCATTTTTTAGTCAAGAAAGAAAAACATATCGCATAAAGCAGCTGCATTCAACAATACAACAAGATACGTATCATTATTCACTTGAAGACTAAAAATGTACCCAGAAATTTTTCAGTCATTCAGTATGCTAAAATATAGATAATAAAAAGAGTCAGTTACTGTTTAATGGTAAAATACATTAAAAAAATTCAGGCAAATTGAGAATGAAAACACATGACTTCCTTCAGTATGGCACTACTCTATTGTTCCATTATAAATTTGTAAAAGGCACCACACATTAAAACTGTAAAGCAAGGGAGAAAACAAAACCAAGCAACTTCCCATGATTTTCTTTCTGTACAAATACATATATATCTTAAGGCAGGTGTCTTTATGTGCAAAATACAAATATACAGGTAAAACCAATGTTGGTATCATATATTCTCATCCTCACTTCTTTTAGCAGTAACACTGGTGTCCAAATGTACAGTACATTGAAAACACTTTTCTCTAACAGAGCTCAAAATAGAAGGCAGGCTGGAAATATGGCCCTGATAACAATTAGTTTTTAAATCTGAAGAGCTTTTATGTAGACCCCTTAAACATGTACAAACAGTCATTCTCTTTTTCTTGTGGTCTCTTCCTTTAAAAAGGTCCATATCAACTTGTTCACTATGTCAGGTTGATCCTGCTGGAGCCAGTGACTAGCTTCAGATAAAATAGTTAATCTGAAATGATTTTTAACATAAATCCGTGTAATTTCTGCCATCTCAACTTCCATAAATGCATCTCTTTCTCCCCATAACAGCAGGGTTGGCATGGTGACTTCATGGTGCTGCAGAGGTAGGCAGCTTTAAAAGTAAAACACACTTAGTTAGGTCTTACTTTAACAAAAAATCACCAAGACTGATTTCAGTCAACTTAGCTTTTGAAATCAACTCAGTGAATCTCATTGCAAGCTTTCTAGGTTCCAAGATATCTTCTACAATACCAAGAAAATGCTCCTGTGGCTCAAGTCCTTTAACTGTTTTTAAGAATGGTAAAATTGTTAGAAGATACTTTTACTGTAACATGTATGCAATCAGCAGTTGATTGCAAGAGAGGTCTTACTTTTGGAAGATGAATGATGCTTCAGCATGGTGCACAGCTCAGGAGCCCCATGATCTCTGTAAAAGGGAATGTGGAACAACATGGCCAGAATTTTGTCTGTCAGTGCCTTTCTCTTGGCTGATGAATGCTATGGCAAATTTCTGACCCTGCATTATTTACTGCAAGTAGATTTTAATGAAATATGATGCTTTGAATCAAATTTAGACTACAGCGTTCAAGGCATCTAGTTACCTGAGTAGCCAAACTGCCTTACTAAAAAACGGTTGTCCAAGAAACGACAGGCTTCCATTTTCAGACGCTAAAGATACCAGCTACAGTGTTTCAGACCTACTCAAAATTAAATATCATGTAGTACAGCTAAAAGTATATTTGTAGAAAAAGATATTGTATACAACATTGATGCCTGAAATGCTGAACTGAATTCAGTTACATTCACTCATCCGTGGTAACATTCAAAGTGCATCAGAGATCCCTTTACAGAGAACTACAGCATGGTTTTGAAGGCCTTGGACTTACATACCTACATCTGTATGCAGTGAAAGAAAACTGTTCCTTAAAAATTTGCTTTTCATGGAGTCATGATCTCTTTAAAACTGCAACATCACAACCCAGAGCTTTGGCAGACTAGAAAGCATTTAAAGATAAATACATTATAAGACATTTGAAGATTACTTTGAAGAAAAACCCTTAGAAAGTAAAATGTTAAGAAAAATTATACCACCACAATCACCTATTTAAACTTTCAGTAGAAATATATTATTTTGTCTTAATACAAATTAAATTCCATTTTAAGTGGAATATTTTATAAATATTTCCTCACATTAAAGGTAGACATTAGGAAAGATACAAGTAGCTAGAAATGAAAGACTATTTCAACATAAACCATTTTAACCCACCAGAATTTATTCCAGCTCAATTATTTCAGAGATGCTGAAAAGTTGATCTAATTTATGCTTGAATTGCTTAATGTTGGCCACATGTTGTAACAGACCAGCTGTGACAATTCAAAACAGATTCCATCTGATCAGATACAAATCTTTATTATATTAATGGTCAAACATTATTATTTTAAAACAGCAATGTATAAAAAAGATTTTCTGAACAAACTTTTATGACATACTTAAGTGCTAGGTTGAAATTTAGGAGTTAGTTAAGAGACTAAGCTCTGTTAAAAGGGAAAGACAAAGATGGCATGTATTAAAGTAAGACAAAGAAATGGAGACTTTGAAGACATTCTCCCTCTCTACTTATACATAATGTCAAGAAATGTTAATAAAAGGTCACTTTAAATAATAATTTAATTTCATCTTGATTGATGAATTAGGAAAATTCTTAGAATGGCTTTCGTAGCAGTGGATTTTAAATCTCATTTTGCAAACCACCTGACCTCACCCACTGAACCATAGCTTATTCATACTATCAGTTTTAAAAACTGATAATCTGGTGATCTGATTCAGTGTGTTTACACTAATCTCTTTACCTTTTAAATCCAGTATCCTGGATCTCTTCCCTATTTATATGCGTATTTTTTCACTACTGCAGGGTTTACTATTTTTCTTTTGTGTCTTAAGTGCCTTAAGATTTGTAGCCTTATTTAGGAAAACTCTACTGGGCTTTTTACACATGCTGCATAGAGAAACCACCTGTCATTTTTCATTGCCTATGAGCTACACTGTATTTATTTTCAGTCTGGAATATGGAACACTATATCATGCCTGAAGTTTCTAGAAATCTCCTTTAGAGGGATTAACATGCAGATTTCACATTTAGAAAGGGAAGTTCCACCTGTGAAGTTTAAGTGTTTGAAAGAACAGACTCAAACCGTCATAAAGCAGTGTTATACAGTTCTTCTGTAAACTAATAGTGAAGTACTTCTTAACTGCTGTAAGAGAACTAATCCTATTTTCTAAAATAAGCTTCAACTGCTCACCTATCTCTCCTAACCAAGCATGATACAAAAGCTTTATGATTTTTATTCCAAAAATGTTTGTATCTAAAGTACAGTGAAAGCAACGACTGCTGTGCTATTTATATAAGGACATGTTGGTGATGGATGGAAGTAGGCGATGTCAATCATCTCTTTGGAAATAACCTTCCAGAAAAATTAAGCTCTGAAGAATGAAACTCCAGATTGATAGTAATGAGTTGGAAACTTTTAACACATAGGTCACCAGTGCCAGCCCGCTGGGAGTTACAGTGAACACAAATCATTAGCATCTAAGTTGTGCTTAGTGGCTTATAGGAGAAGTGAAAATTTCAATCCAGTTGTAATATGTTATGATTCACATCCCATAAGGCGTGACCATCAGAACTGGTGGCAAGAACTGAATGAGCTGAAGTCTAATCTTTTCCTTCCAGTCCAAAGCATGCTGCATTGTGGCTGATAGCACCTAACATAATATTCTCTGAATTCAGTACAGGTACGCTTTCAGTACAAAAATAAAGAAAACAATGCACAAACATACA